ATATTTTGTAAGAGTTCTCAGAAAAAGCATAAAAAATTCCTAGAATAAATTTGTCCTAATACATTCATAAAATACCCAGTGATCAAAAACTTTACAATTAAATTCAAATTAGTATATATGATATATCTTCTTCTTAGACATATCCTTAAGGAATGAAATAAACTTTCAGCTAGATGTTGAGTAAGCACAAGAGAGAACCTGTCCAGATGGGCAGTTGGATGTGCTTGCATAAGATCCTCTAGATAATATGCTTCTCTAGAGCCCTGGACACAAGGAGAGCAGACAGGGTTTCCGATAGACAACAGATTTTTCTGCGGAACAAGTGCCACTCAAAAGATTTTTCTGCAAACCAAGTGCAGTTATTTCCTTTGCACAGATGGGACAAAGAAGACCTAGGGAGGTTAGGTACGGGCCAGGATGAAAGATATCCCTGGAGATACTGAGCTTTGGTACTAAGCTGTTGGAGTTCAGAAGTCCTTTTCCTGCACCATGCATTCTGCCTCCCCAGCAGTGGATGGAGGGAAGAGAGAGTCAAGGGACACTTTGGTACAGGCGACCAGGTGCCACAGCATACCCAGTGATTTTTTTCCCCTTTTTCTGTACTAGTAGAACACCAAATATTTTTTTGAAAATGATGGGCATCATTGAGAATATTCATAGTCCCACACAAGATATGATCAGTTCAGGCCAAGGAAATCTAAGGAGAAACTTACTGGGATTAATTTTTATAAAACCCACAGTTTGCCTGATGAAGACAATCAGCAGACACCTGTCTGTTTTCCTTTTCTCTTTCTTTTCTGTCTGCTGGAAATAGAATTAACTTCTAGGGCAGGTGGAACAAGCATGATGGCTACTTGCTGAGGATGGCAGAGGAGAAGGTGGAGCAAGCCAATGGCATTCTGCAGGTGCCATCTGCATTCTGAACTGTCCACTTTTTTGCATGAGAAAAGGAGACATCTATTCAGATAAACTAATGGTTCTGTGACCTATATTCAAGTACAGTTCTAACCAAAAAGAGCTATACAAAAACAGAAGGCATAAAAACAGATTTTGCAAATAACACCATAATGCTTCCTTGTGGCAGCATGCGTAGACCGGTGAGTACATGAACCGGCTCCATGAACAGCTCCATTGCCACTGGTGGATCATGCCACTGCATGTAGTGGCAGTACCTGGGCACAGACCTGCTTCTACAGTACTTCTACAGAGTTCAGCTACAACACTTTCAGGAGGGATTTGGCAAACTACATCCTGTTGACAATGTCTCACCAATAGCCCATTGTTGTGGAGTATGAACTGTGCATGCAGTTTTTCTACCATTTATCAAAGAATTTTATGTAAAAAAAAATGAAAAACAAAAACAGAAAAGAATATTCAACAGATTTCCCATGGGCCTGTGAAAACCTAAATATTTACTGTCTGGTCCTTTACAGGAAATGTTTAAAAGGACAAGATGGAGCAATGTCAGCCTACAAATTATCACAGCAACTATCCAGATTAAAAAGTGTATTCAATCATAGATTATTTTCATTGTTCTTTAGTGAACAATGAGCCACGCTGTCCAAAACATGACCTGTAATTAAAGAACAGTCTGAATGGTTTTCTGAAGGGGGATCATTCAAGGCAATAGAAAAGAAGGAAAATAGCATGATTATTACATTCCAGGCTTAAAAAGGAAGAATCTAGTTTTAAGTGTAATAACATCAGATTCCCAGAAAATATTAAACATCAGCTGGAGCTGTTTGTTGGAAATGAAGTATCATCAAACATTCACCAGAGTAATCCTAGGAGGAAATAAAATTTGAATACCTCAGAATAAAATTGCCTTTCAAGAAGACTTTGTTTCCACAGATGGTACCAAGGTTTCATTTCAAGAATAAACATTTCCACTATTTACTTCCCTCTGGCTATACTACACCAACTAACAACAGCTGATTAAAAACCATAAGTAAAGAAAGGGAGATCTTCTTAACTTCCTATTTTTGTTGACTCATAGAATCAAAGGATGGCGTTAACAATTATTCAGACACCTGCAAAATTATCTCAAATACTGTGCAGAAATCAAGACTTTTATTTGTTTGGAAAAAATAATTTTTCATACCCAATAGTACTAAGGTGATAGATTATTAAAATTTTCCAATTTTATTTTCTAGATTGTTCTCCACCCAAAATAACACCGAATCAATCTCACATACCAGTATTCTTGCACGTTTCTGTCCTTAAAATCTAATTCCTGCATCATATATACTAGAGATACCTCCAAAGAAACGCAGAAGAGCAGGCAATAACCTCTAAACTTTCAGTTCCTGTAATATATGTAAATGTCTTTGAAGTTCCAGGATTTCATATTTTTCTTTATGTATGTCTTTCTTCTAAAACACTGTAGTTATCATGGCTTTATAGTAAAGTTTTCCTCTTCCTAAGCAATATCCACTTATTTGTTACTAGAATTTTGTCACTTAAGGACTTTCATAGCGTCATAATAAATACTATACTGGGTTGGACATTCCTCTCACTTTAAAAACAAAGCCGTTTTAAGAAAAAAAAAATATACTGCATCAACTGTTTTCATCTAATGTTTCACAGATACTACATATTTTGTCTTCAAATCAAAGATGATTGCACACTTTTGTTCATATACTGAGTGCAAAATTACCCTGAGAATCAGTTTCCACGATTTTTCATTTGTACTATTGATCTTTTACATTGAATGTATGCATTTATATAATTATAAAATTATACCTTTACATACATCAGTGATGGCTGCATTTGAATATCATAAAACAACACATTACAAAGCCCTGTGATCAGAGAAAATGGAAATTGTTAACATCTGGAATGAGAAATTTGAATTTGAAAGTCTGAAATTTTCCATGAAGCTTTTTTTTTTCTATGTTTGTCCATTTTTCAATTAGTCCTGACTGTAACCACTTATCTGGAACGGCCTAATTCAATATAAATGTAAATGTGTTGCGCTGATTAAGTACCCACTTAGAATAATAGTTATTCCTAAATCTTTGATAGGTGAGGCCATGGAGTATATAGCTTCTTATGCAACCTCTAGACCACAAAACCTCTTTACTCAAATTTTTGTACTGGCTTTCCTCTTTAGCAGGAAGGGAACATCGCTGTTCCCTATTCTTCACTGACTGGAAGGGAACTTTTTTCTAGGATATGCCCTACAACACTGCTCTCTGCTTTTGCCATGTGCCAGACACAAAGCTAGGGCAGTTCCTCTTGAACCTGATCTTTCCACATGTAGCTCTCGCAAATCTATCTCATGCCTGACTTTTTTCCAGTCCCAGAATTAGTAGTAGAATACAAGCAGAACACAAGCCTCTGCTAGCGAATGGAGGAACTTATTACCATTATTCTGCCATGGGAGACTTTCCCTGCCATTAATGAGGAGATGGCACTTACATAGAAAAGGGCTAAAGCTTAAAAAGAGTGAGTTGAAATGTTTTCCCTCTAGTTACATAATTCATGTTCAAAACATTTATTACCGTTGTCTTATCACATTAACATCTGCGCCTGCATGCTCAATATCAAGATTCTTCACTTTAATACACCTTTATTAAGATATAATTCACATTCCATGTTTATAATTGCATATTTTCAACAAACTCAGAGCTGTGAAATCATCGACAATACAACCTGAATTTAAACCTTTTCTTCCCCCTCTTCAAAACTAGACCTCATACTCACTCTCAGTTATTCCTCCTTTCTTTCTCCACCATGACCTTACATTCGAGCTCTACATATTTGCCTATGTGGCATCTGTCACAGAATATCTTTTCTCTTTTCTTACTAGTTCTTTTGTATGAGTTCCTATGACTTCACTGTTACTTTATATTGCCAAATAATATTCCTTCATAACGATTTACAACATTTACTCATCCATTAGAATTGTCTAGGCTACAAGGAACTTAATCAATATTTTTAGAATTACACTGGTAAAAGTCACTGAAAAATAGAAATGTAGTAAACAACTGCAACCTTTTCTTGTGGAGACATTGATCCATTCAAGTAAAGTGAAGTAATTAAGTTAATGCAGATAATTCAAGTACTTGCACATTCAGATACTTTAAGAAACCAGAAAACATGAAGACAATCAGCACCACTTGGTGTCTAATGACAAGATTTTGATCAGAAAGCATATATTGGGTGCCGCCTACAGAGTACGCAGATGAGTTGATAAAACGGAAAATGGAACTAAAGCTTTTATATCTACAGTACCAGGCAGAAAGATAATGGAAATTTCCCTTTTGATTTCACAGAAGTATGCTAGAGCTTTGGAGGCAATGTTAACATGTTGGCACATCTGAAGCATAGACTGACATGGGAAATGCTAGAAATGCTATACCAGTATCAAAATTTAGGGAGTCAATTTTGGGAACATGTACGCAATTAAAAAGAGGGGCATCTGTTTTTCTTTGTTCATATTATTCATTTAGTATTTTGTCATAGCAGAATTTCTAATGTGGTTAAAACTCCCAGTGGACTCTTAAATTGCAGCTGCTATTAGGATCTAAAATAAAGAATTTAGAGTCACACATTATAAAGGTATGGTCTTCACTCCATTGATGAAAAAAGTTTCTGTTTTCAGGGTCAAAAGAAAAGATTAATAATATGTGTAATGCTGTTAGATATTAATACCCATAACATGGGAACTATAGTTTGGCTTATATAATATTATTTTTATATGTTCCAGTGTCTCAACATATATGAGAGCAAATATTGGTGAACATTCCTTCTATTGCTGTGTGTTAAAGGATTTAATACAATCCCATTGAAATAAGGAACCTACCATTTTCTTCCCTTCACACTACAAAGCTCTCACTCACATACTCATTTTCAGGGAAACAAAAACAAAAGTTTCCAGTTTCTTAGGTTATTTGAAAAAAAAGAATCAACTAGAACAGCAGTCACCCGTGAAAACAACTGACATTTCATTTCACATGGAAGGTAAATCCAAACGGCATGAGAACCTTTCTACTCACAGGTGTCTAAAGATTCGTCCGAATCATCAGGGCAGTCAGGGTCCCCATCGCACAGCCAGCTCTGAGAGACACAAGTCACATGATCGTGGCAAAGAAATTCACCAGGATCACACAACTGCTGATCTGAAAATGAAAATGTTTCAAAATAAAATATGAATGACCTGAGTACGAACGTAAGAGCAGTACAAAGATGAAATGTGAGAATGCAATATATAAAACGTGAGTGAATATGATCTATAGTTTCTGTTCAACAGCAAAGCTAAACCAGTTATTTTTCTTAATTTTAACTACTCAGAAATACTTGACTTTATTGTAGGTTTGCACAAGCTTTTCTGGAAATAGTTAAGGATTATTTTTGTGCTTAGAACTATAGGTTTTATCATATCAGATACACCTTAGAGAAGTTCCAGTAAGTTTTATAGAACATGTTGACTCAAAGCAAAGCAGACACTGTTACACATAGAGATTTTAGTTTCTTTTCTGCTCCAAGAAAAACAAAAATCACCAGTAAATATTATAATTAAACTTTATCTCTGAGTACTAAGTCTTACGTATCTACGTACATGTCTGTATATGAACTGGATACGCTATACTATGAAACTTGCTTTCTTTTTCATGACTTACAAGTGGGTAGTTTCTGCTACCAGATAGCAAAAGTTATAAACTTCTGTAAAGTTTTTCTTTCTATTTTGAGTTTTCCAGAGTTGGTTTTGTCTAAAATATCAATAATTTTTCTTCCACGATTAAGAAATATTTGGAATTTGCAGCTGTTCTTCATATTCTAGTAAGCTCTCTGATATCAGTTTTTGAGAGTATATTTATTTATATCTTAGTAGTCAATTTTTAAAAATAATTTTTTTCAAATGTTTGAACATGTGCTAAATAAGGACATTTCATACAATTGATGATGTTTGAATGTAAAGGAATGTTAAGAATACCTCACCCACTTGACTTCACTTGTAATTTTGAAATTCATACACTATATCTACAGATATACACATGCACACATTTGAATAACAAGAGAAGTCATTATTAAATAGATTTAAGTGAGCTCTATCAGAAATAACATTCTAAGTGATACGTGAAAGCATTAGGCCATCACTTAGTTGGCATTTTCCTACTGCAATATATAAAATAATCATACATCTCTTATAGTTATTTCCTATTTAATAAAAGAGGGTATATTTTTTCTCAAATTCACCTGGTCCTCTAGCAACAACAGCATAATTTTCAGTGAAAATGTATTACAATCTCACACAACATGACTCTTGAATCTAAAGTGTGGGTATAATGATAACTTTTGCTCTTCTTAAATTACAGATATCTCCTGAAATCTCATATGTCATCCCTTTATATTTTCTAATAGTGAACATCAACACCACACTTATCTCAACTGCTATTATAATTGTCTTTTTTTCCTATTAAGCTGCTTGACTCTAGGCTTGATGCTACAAAACCAAAGATGTCGAAGTTAGGTTTTTTCTTCAAGGAATTAAAAGGCCACTTGTGTTGATACACCGAGAAAGGAAACAAAAGGGGGGTGACAAAAAGAGAGAGATAAATATATAAGACATAAAGGACAGTTTGGAGCTAGGATAGACCACTTGCGTAGCATATATAAGGCCTCAGGTTCCATCCTCAACACTCTCCCACACATAATATGCACACACACACACATGCACACACACACAGAGGCAGAATTATTTGGTGATGTAAGAATTTTTTAAAAGATGGATAGATCCTAAATAAATAAAATATAGGACAAGTCAGGCAAAGTGAAGATTAATCAGTATTGCAAAGACAATGCTATTACAATGCATTTAAGAGAAAAATACTACTGAAATTAAAATGTATTTTAGGTTATAATAGAACTTAGGTTTTGCCCACCAAAGAGTAAGTGGTCTATGATATTTACAAGTATAGTCCAGTGTTAATGGAGGGGCTTACATTTTGCTTAGAGTAACACACAACATTTGCATATGATATAAGGACAGATCACCGGAGCAACTGAGTCTATTTTACTTACATATCATGAGCATCTATAATTTATCACCAAATAAATATGTGATCATTTCCCAGAGTGAAATAATGCTTACTAATAATTATACTATGGCAACAGGTATGAAGTATATCTAGTCGGGCAAGTTCGTGCATGTCTGTAATCCCAGCACTTGGGAGACTGATGCTGGAGGATCACTGCGATTTTGAGGCCAGAGTAGGCTACAAAGTGAGTTCAAAACCAGCCTAAACTGCATCATAAGACCCTGTCTCAAAAAGATAAATAAAAAAAAGAGAAAATAAATAAATAAATAATAAAGCAATTTACACCACCAAATTCAGGAGCTTGAGATGACAGGTTTTCTCTTCTTCAGTCCTCCAAAATGATTAAAAAAAAAAAAAAAGCGTAGGTTATGTGGAAAACAAATGGTTTCTTTGCAGACATCATTATATAGGATGTGACAATAAGCAATCCATACTTGCTGAAAATATTAAGAATGAGAGAAGACCACAAAGAACCTTCTAGAGTGTGGGAGCAGAGTTTCTCAAAACAGATCAGAGACAGTAAGACCTGAATTACTGTGGGAAGTATTTGATTTAACATTGTAAGAAAGACTATTTCATGGTAGAATGTGCTACACAGTTACTGTTGGAAGAGTTGTAGCCCTCTACAGAAGCATTCAGGGTGACTGGGCTCCAGTAGTAAGAACTCAAATGGAGTCTGGTACAAATGATATGATATGAATCAAGAAGAAAAAAAGATTTCACTAAATAGTTGAAAGACGTAAACATACCTGAAAATAAATAGCTCAGAAATTTGTTGGAAAAAAAACAAGAAAGAATATAAATGCAGGAAAATAAAAAGATTGTGTGTGTGTGTACATGGGCATTTAGCTAGTTAAAGTGGGATATTAATAATAGGAAGCAATAGGATGTTAGTAAAGACAACAGGCTTTTTAGAGCAGCAGTGTCTCAAACACTTCTCTTCATATCTTAATTTGTTCATTGTTTATTTCTACAAAACTTTGTAGAACTTACTATGTTCTAAGTATTAGAGAAGAACTAGTGGATAAAAGAAAGCAGAAATCCCTCTTATCACACAGCTAACATCGTACTGAGAACAGCAAAATAGATCAGTTGATTTTATATTGGAATGTAAACCTTATGTAGAAACAGAATTCAATTACATAGCAGCAATGGTGACTCAAATAAGGGGTGAAAAACAAGGGGTGAAATACAATTGTAGACAAGGTAGTCAGAGGACATGTCCCAGAGAATGAGCCAGAGTGAGAATACAGGCTTACAGGCTGTGAAGGCGACACTCATTTGAATAAAAGTCCTGTGCTAAAGATCATGGGCTGAAGATTAGAGGCAGAAAAGTGTTCAGGAAATTTAAGGGACATTAAAGATGTAAGCACAACTGGAGGAAAAGAAGACTTAAGAGGTGACCAGCAGGCATGTGGTGCTGACAGGGCAGAAGCAGACTGAGCTTTATTCAAAGACAAGGTAGCAGAGGTTGGGAAGAGTCAGAGCAGAGTGACACAACCCAATTTATCAGTTTTCTTCAGTAATGTGGACTGAACCCAGAAGCTTCCCACGGAACTATCTACTTATTCTTTTTTTAAAAATGTGTTTTATTTTGATACAATATCATGCAAACTCACACAACTGCCCAGGGTAGGCTCAAACATGCAATCCACCTGCCTCTGATGCCAAAGTGCAGGGATCACAAGGTGTTTGTTTTCAGGCCCATCCTGATTTATTCTGTTAAAGGATTTCTCTGGTTACAGTGTAGAGAATAGTGAAGTTGGAAGCAGAGAAATCAAGAAGGTACTACTGGAATAAACTCACTGAATGGGAATCGTTGCATGGATGAAGATGCTGATGGAACAGTTTCAAGATTAAATTTTACGAGGAAACTGACACCAAGTATTTGCAGTCTCATTAACTGTCAGAATTTTGAATTGTGAAATGTGAATCCAAATATTAGACTTTTTAATCACTTTTGTAAACATGCTGAATTTGGGATAGCTGGTGACATCCACAGAGCATGCATAATAGGAAGTGAAATACCTAAGCGTGTAATTGTAAATGATCACAACAGTAAAGAGAACAGAATTCTCACTCTAAGAAGAAATTGAGAAGCTCAAGGAATTGATGACGTGACTCAAGTTAGAGGTAAGAGAAGTATGAAGATGATCAATAGGTTGTTCAGAGAAAAAAAGAAGCAAGAGTAGGTCAGGCACAAAGACAGAAAAGACAAACAGCTGCAGAGAAAGAAGGACACGGCAAAGTGAAATGACATTTACCAAAGCTATGTGGAATTTCAAGAACTGAATTGAGAAGAAGTCACTAATGCCAAAATTCCAGTGCAGTAAGTTCTGGAAAGATTAGGTAGCCTTAGGTCCTAAAAGAAATTTACCAGTGAAGCAAAAAGATCAAAAAGGAGATGACAGTGGAACAATTTACCCAAGAGAATTTCATGGGAATGAAACAAGACCCTAAAATATAGTAAGAATGTAGGTTCTGAGGAAGAATAGAAAAATGAAGTGACAGAAAGTTATTACCTACTAGGGACGAAAGGGATAGTATTTTTACCTAAGTTTACTCAAAGAACTGAGAAGCAGAATTAGTTTCTGAAATGTTCAGAAGGTGAAACTGGAAAAGTGGCATCTTAGACTCATTGCCTTGAGAATTTTAAAGGGATCTTCTAGCAACCTGGGAAAGGATTACTTTCTAGTAACAATAAAGATACAGCTAACATTTAAAGTAGACTTTTGAGAGCTGAGTGTTCATTTTATTTTGTTTTAATGTCCAAATGTTCACCTGTGTTAAGCCACAGATACAAAATAACCCTTGGGAAAATCCCAGAAGAAAATCACTTAGGAATACAAGCAAACTGTCTACTCTTGATATATATTCAGACATATAAGTAAATCCATTCTGATTCAAAAATAATTTTTTCTGCCCCAGGAGTAAGGTATACTTAAGGCAATTTACCTAATAAGTCTGTGTTACCAGCTTTCAAAGCAAAATTCAACTTTTAGACACAATTTACATTATTATAGTTTGGGGGGCAGTTTTCTATAATCCATCTGTTCATTTTTCAACCAGGTACTTCATTTCAAGGTCAGTTTTCTAAAGCACTGATTTTAGTCTTGAGCATATTTTCAGTTTTTCTGAGATGATTATTTAAAAGATACACCTACCACCTTTAGGATCTTGAATCAAAAGCAAAATATATTATATGTATGTATGCTTTTCAGTTTTCCTATTTAATGCTTAAACCCACACTCCTGAGATGAACTAATCTCATTTTAAATGTCTTTCTATTGTATGCAAAATCATATTTTACCCTGTAATAAAAATGAGAAGCTTATGAGTATGGAAATCAGTTTACTTATATCCTAAGGAAGAATATCAAAGCTAGAATTATATGTAGCACTTTATAATAATAGACTCGATCAAAAACATGAAACAATTAAGACAATCACATTCAATAGAGTCTGTGAGTGTGACTTTATTCTGTCATAAGCAAAGCTTATCTTGATAGTCTTTCTATACTTA